CTTTCACTTGTAGTAAGTATCCTCTACATTATTCATGACCCTATGATGCATACGAGAGGTAGCACGCAGCTCATCTCATTGCTGCTGTCGATGATGACAATGGAAGGGTAACTAATCGTTAAGATATCGTCGCGCAGCATGTATGTAGTCCTAGTATATATTCTAGAATTTATCACGTTTTTTTCGGAATTTATACATTGCCTCTGAGTGCTATAGCTGTCGCCGTCGTGCGCGACAATGTCGGGACAAGCGTCGGCGCCGTGCGTAACGGCAGGCGCGAACTTAGGGTTAGGAGCAGGCGCGGATTATTATTAGCTAGGCGGCTGGTGACGTGTGCCCTACAGACTCAGGCGTAAAGCACAGGGCCCCGGCGGGGGATTCAGGTGGGGTGCAGAATTAAGGTTTGCGAGCCATGTTAGGCTCGCGACTGCGACCCCAGTCACAAGCCTAAGAAGGCTTGGTAACGGTGTCACTCGGGTGCATAGACAACGCACAGCGCGTTCTTGGTGCTTGGACAAAGACAGAAAGCTGAGTCAACGACGACGGACATAATTTACGGAATAATGTACAGAACGAGGGCCACACCCGTCAGTTATACATAAACATTGAGCGGCTGCCACTGCGCCGCATTGATGGAATCATCGGACGCCCACACCAAGACATTGCTTCATTCACTTGCTGTTGGACTTGGAGACTTGGCCGTTCGGCGAGGTGTACTGCGAGTAGCCACTGCCACTGTTGTAATAGGTGGAACCATTGGGATTGCTGTAGTAGTAACTCCCGTTCCTGGGGAGCGGTAAGTACAGGGACCGTGCGGTGGGAAGACGTACGAGTTGGAGTAATGATAAGCGTTAGAGCCATTTCCGTAGTCGCGGGAACAGTAGTGGTTACCCTGAAAATGGCGGACCGAACAGGAGACGGCGTGCAATGAGATAGGGGCTAGTGAAGGAGCATGGACATAACGCCGTACCTGAGAGTTCGTCCCGCTACCGGTGTAGGTGTAGCCGTTGCTGGAGCCACTGTTCCCCTTTGTCATTCTGCACAGTGATGGAGATGAGTGGCTCAGAGGATGAGGGGAAGAAATACGGAGTTCGGACGTCGGGGGACGCTAAGGACAGCCATAAAAAGGTCACATAAGCGTGACGGTGTAACCTCGAATTGAATTGATCTTGCCGCTACGGCAGCCAAGAAAATCCGACAGACACGAATATGCAGACAAACACGGCTATGAAGATTACAATGTCGTGCTTGCACGTTCATAGTTCGGTTGGACGCGATCGAGCCGTACGAGGAGTCAATTCTCCTTAGGAGCCCGTGCAGCCTATTGAATCGTGACTTGGCAGCTCACCGACCGAGTTGCCATCCTGACGGATATTTGTAGTGCGCCATTTCCTCTTCTCTCGCCTTTTGCTGCACTGGCTACTGGTGTATCATCCACCCCGACTTGTCTCAGGATCCCTTGTAAATAAGCCTACCCAACCTACAGAGTCGGCCCTGAGGCGTATCCACGGTTAGCTACATGCCCTGTGTATTCCTGCAGGAGCTGTGGGGCGAAGCAGCGTGACTGGCAGAAAAATGTTCGCTCCATCTAGACGTCCACTGGCAGACAGTCCACGAGCGAGTGTGAATACCAAGTCACTTCTGCAGTACACCAGAAAGTAGGTTTCTCCCAAATAGCTCGTCCTAGGGTAGAGCTCAAGGGAATGCCAGTGAGGGACGATATACTTACCATGAACGAGGAGACGAGCAGCCACCGGCGTTTTCCGACGTGCCGTCGACTTGACGCCTCCCTAAAAGTGGAAACCCCTCCGGTCTTTGATGCTCAAAAAGTAGCACATGTACAGGTAAGCTTTACAGCACCCAACCTGCACTTGCTTTTCCCCGCCAAGTCGCTGCATTATACTGATTCCGAGTCTTACCAGTAATCATTGTGAAAATAATATAATATATTTGACCTTTGCGTAGACATGCGCGTCTGTGAACGAACAGACAAGTAAACCCACTTAGCACATCTAACGAACGAGTGCAAAGATGGGGGTGTATCTATGGGGGCATTGTACTTAAGGTCCTCGAGCTCGCAAGGTACAGTACAACAATCTAGATATGTCAAAAGGTTATCACAACACTATATGAGCTGTCAGAGTGATAAAGAGTGACGATAAGAGAACGAAAGATAAACATAACCCAAAAAGGAAAGAATGTCGCTAAATTGGGAATCCGTGCAGTTTGCCACAGCCTGAGAAACAGAGCGGTGTCACCTCTCTGATTCCCACAGTCACTCCAACAAGCATTAGGATCATATCTACGGTCGCTGCTCGACGCTTGTAGTTGACAGCCGCTTGCAGATCGATAGCCCATCAATTCAGAGAACCACGTATAGTCGGAGTGGGTCGGAGTGGGTGCCAGGGACGTCGGAAGAAGGTAGAGAAGTCCAGATGGTCTGATTTCTGTCTCTCGGGGACTTGAAATTGCTTGTCCGACGTGGTCCGACTGTAAATGATTCTCAAAAAGTGGGCCCATCGATCTGCAAATGGCTGGAATTCCGACTCGAGTACTCGAGTTCCGAACATAAGGCTGTATCGTCGAAATATGTATTCCGGGGTTTATCCGGAGGATGCATGCATACGACGACTCGGATTGTACGTGACCTAACCTCCAGGATGATATTAATACATTGGCCGTTGAATTGCGGCACCTGCTGCATCGTTGAAATTCCCTGCGTTTCGAACCAAGTATATCTTATCGTTCATGGCGAGGTTCACCCTCCGGCCTGGTCCTACGTCTCTGCTACTATTGCATTCTAGTGAATAACATCATCACTATGTCAGTCGCTGTGCAGACTAAGAAGATGCCATACGGTATACTTCCGCAATCATTGAGATGACAAGGTTTCAGAGGCTAATACGACCAATTCTTAGTCCGACTGGGCAAGTCGGGGCTGAAGGTATCCAAGATCATCCTTGGGATGATGTCCTACGGGAGCACCGGATGGCAGGACTGGGTCATCGAAGATGAGGAAGAGGTGGTCAAGCATGTTAAGACAGCGTATGGCTCACCCCCTGCTCCGGATTGATCGGTTGCTTGCAACTGGAGTCTTGAATCATTGTAGATATGACGCGGGTATCAACGCGTTCGACACAGCAAATGTACGCCCTTCGTGGTTGCCGATATAAACAATGAAGTGACACGTTTCCTCCCTGCCAGGTGTACTCCAATGGCCTGTCCGAAGTATTACTTGGGAAAGCTATTAAGAAGCTTAACCTTCCGCGAGACGAGATCGTCGTCATGACCAAGGTCTGTCCAAATTTGCATGTCAGTGACTGCGACGGGCTCACTAGTCGGGGCATAGGTCTATGGCACTGTAGCCCGTACCTACGACACGAATCTCATGAAGACTGGCAAGTCACCGGAGGAAGTCGGCCACGTCAACCAGCACGGCCTGAGTCGCAAGGTGCGTCGGTCTGGAATGTTGAATCTCGTATCACATTTTGAATACCCGCGCTTAGCATATATTCGACTCCGTCAAACACAGCTTAGAGCGACTGCAACTGGATTATATCGATCTCTTGCAATGTAGGGAAGTTACCGGTCATTCTTTGATTCCTACTCATCTTCGTACGTCGAAGGCCATCGATTTGACAAAGATACTCCCATCGAGGAGACTGTAAGGACCACTCACAGTCATGGGTTGAATGAAGGCTGACGTTTTGTCAGATGCAAGCACTTCATGACGTCGTGAAAGCCGGATATGTTCGTTACATCGGAATGAGTTCTTGCTGGGCCTACCAGTGTAAGTCCCCATCTGGCTTCGTTGAGCGTGTCTCGTATTGAGTGCCTCGTAGTCCAGGCGATGCAGAGTACGCGGCGACTTCTTCAGCGTAATATAGCGGGTGACTGACAATTTGTACCCGAAGACTACGCCATAAACAATGGACTCACTCCGTTCGTCTCCATGCAAAACCATTACAGCTTGGTATACCGCGAGGAGGAACGTGAGATGTTCCCCACCTTGAAGGTCAGTAACATGGTTGTTTCACCGCACTTTGAGCGGGCACGTGCGTAATCGTTCCCATAGATGTTCGGCGTCGGCTCCATCCCCTGGTCGCCGCTCGGCCGCGGTATCCTTACCAGACCCCTGGACGCTCAAGCCACGAAACGAGGCGCTGTCGACCAGTAGGTCGCTGAATTATATCGTCTACCTGTAGCTTAATATGACTGGAATTGTAGATGGATCCCTCAGTTCGCCAAGGCCCCGAGATTCTGAAGCGGTAAGCGGTGCCAGTGATTTATATGTCAAGACGGCTGTTAAAGAACGCGCATCGTCCGTCCAGCGTCGAGGAACTCGCAAATAAGAGATCTGCCTCCATGGCTCAAGTCAGCATTGCTTGGATCCTCGCGAAAGAAGGTCCGTACACGCGACAACCCACGTCCCATGCAGCGTACTGAACGGTTACGCGAAGGTGTCACTGCTCCCATCGTCGGTACCACCAGTCTGAAGAATCTTGAAGACATCATTGGTTCGTCCCTCACCTAGCTACCCCTGTGGCCACATATGATACTGAATCGCGAATTACAAGGTGGAGTGAAGATTAAACTGTCGCCCGACGAGATCAAGTACCTGGAGGAACCGTACAGGCCTCAATCGGTGATCGGACACTTTTGAGGTCGAACTTACTGACTGGTGTCATGTATTACGATCAATGTAAGAGTGTGCAATGCCATTACGATGTGTGTCAAAGACAGCAAGCGTTCTTTCTTTATTAGTCCGGGATAAGCCCACTGAGGTCATTGCATCGTCAAGCCTTTACCTGCAGTACCTAGCGGAGCCAAGGCAGCTTAATGCTACCATCGAGGACACCTAAGCTTGCGTCTGTGAAGCAGATAGAGGACCGAATGGACGTTCAGAAACCACCAATAAGCTCCGATGGAAGCATTCGCTGAGATGCGCAGATTCAGTTAAACTTGAAACTCGCGTGCATTTCACAGACACCAAACCATACAAGGTCGACCCTAACTTGAACTGATATTCGGCAAACGAATGACTTGCACCGTCTTCAGAGCCTGTCGAGTAGCATATTGCAGGTTAGCGAGTGACGCCCTGGAAAACGACTCTGTTCAGCCTGACAGCACTGCAGGACTATCCACAAGAGTTGATGTGGTAAGGAACTGGGTTGATGTTGCCAAAATAAATACCCTCCACCCTGCGTACACGGGACATAAGATACAGATCGCTCCGTTCGCGCAGATATGCTATACGCTCTCCACGCTCTTCAGTGCTCATCCCATCATCTCCGTGTATCGCGCTTGAAGTACTCGCTGTTCACAGCGGTCCCTTGTATCATGTCGAATATGGTCTCCCCAACTCCCAGGTACGTGTCGGCGACGGTGCGGACGGTGCCCTCTGGTACCTGTGTGGTGTCTGGTCTGTACAGCAGACATGAATAACGTGAACAGACTGAATTCACGGGTGCCGGCGTACCTGAAACCGCTCGAACGCCGTACTCCCGCTAAGACAGTAGACACGAACACTGCATCGAGGGCATAGTGGAAGAGTTTGCCCAGCGCCATTCGGGGTGAGTGCGACGACGGCGGTAGGCCGACGGTTATGCAATTAGAGGTATGGTAGTGCGTTCGATGGCCAGTCTATGGACGAGGAGGGGTTAAATGGTGATGGGAGAGCTGAGTGAGACTGCATGCTCGATCAACGCGTCTCTTCGGCAAGACAGAATATATCAGGTAATTGTCAGGCTGTAGATATGTTTCTCCTCCGTTTCTCCCACTGGACGCACACGAGTCGGTCGAGCTCAACCACTTCGACGTCCTCCAAAGACGGGGAAAACGGGTCGAATCTCGCGCAGTAGCACAGGATTCAGATTATATGTATTCATCTATGGATGGTTCACTCTGTAGATGCACGCGCAAAAGGCACCCTCATTCCAAGTCAAAGTTGATGAACATTATATTAAGACATAATATAAGATGTAGACTGTGTGCTAGCAGACAAACGGTCCTTCCAGTCCCCCACCCATGCGTCATGAGCCTCAGCCGAAGCGATTCTTCCGCACGAGCAGAAGGCCAGTCAAAACAGACCGCTCATCTCGCCAGCCCAGCAGCCCAGCACTGAACAGCACCTCGGTTCATTCTAGGAGACGGGAACGCGGGCAAGAACACGGAAAAGCTGCAACCAAGCCCGAACTTTTGAGTCCCCATGATTGTTCGTGAAGAGGCGATTTCCAGCCACCGACTAAATTTGTAGGCTGATGGAATTCCCACGACAATGGACGCCCGATTGCCCGGTGGCGTCGATATCACGGGTTTCCAACCATGTCATAGACTTCTAATTAGTAGTGGAGGACTACAAGTCCAACCTCTCTCTTGAACTCTTCCTGCAGCGGAACGAAAGCCGCAGCATGTCGAGGACGTCGAAACCGCTCACATTGACCCGCTTGAACGATGTAATTCTGGGCCCCTTCGCCTTGGTTCCCCCGTCAGAGACGCTGGACCACCTGGTCCGCTACCTGAGTACATGGAGTGGAAGCGAGTTCGTGTTTGAGATCATGCATATTATATGTACGCTGATATATGTTGTGTCTGGTCCGTCTCGATCAGCAAGCTGCTCATGGTGAGTACTTCCGACGGGAAACAATAAGAGCAAACTGAAGTGATCATACATATCCCCAAGATAATTGACTACACGGTCAAGCTTCTTGTCCCTTTCCTAAGCTGGCGAGCACGCATACAGGCCAAGGCAGGCTTGCGTAAGGTTCCCGCAAGCCAGGCTGCTCAAGGGCTAGCGAAGCTCGGCAGCCTCGTCGGGGACGCGCGAATGCTCTTCAGGATCTGGGGTACGCGCCTCTATCTTATCTCAACATTCCCGTATGACTGGGTTTTAAGGTCTTCTCCCGATCGTCCAATGGCTCATCTCTCTCGAGCGCAATCCGCCTCCCACCCGCCGCCTTCTCACCATCGAGCGGCTGCAAGGGTGGTCCATGCTGCTCTACTATCCCCTCGAGCACCTCTACTACCTCCGCGCCCACGAAATCATCCCCGCCACTCTGCCCTCCCTCCTCTCTCTCTTCTCATCTCAGGCCAAGCCAATCGAAGTCAACACCAACAGGGTGGGCATGTGGTCCTGCCGCTTCTGGGCGGTGTACGTAGCGCTCCAGTTCGCCCACCTAGACGAGGACCGCAAGTTGCTCAGGATGACCGAGCGATCGATCGCGAAGAGTAAGGGACACGACCCTGCCGTTGAAGCGGAGAGGGCGGACCTGCGCAAGAGATGGACAGCGTTCCGCAACGAGCTCGTAGCCAATATTGGTTATCTGCCTTTGACGTTACATTGGTACGTGATTATTCCGTCCGTTAAACAATTTTGGCTCTTCGTGGGATGGTTCGTAATTTGCTACGCACTACCTCTGTGCCGCTGCTTGGTATGAGCGGAGAGATTCCCGACTCTCATAGGCGCCAGAATCGTCTTTTGCTGTGAATCGTGTGTAAAGCTGTGCAGAGCCAAGGTCGAGGGGCCGGGCACACCAAGCCTTTTCTAGTGCCTGCGCTATTTCCATATGAACCCACACAAGCCTTCCACGCGGTCAAGTATAGCTAATCACGCCTCCCCTTTAGGTCGCTCGAGCAAGGCCTCTTCTCCAATGAGGTGAGTGACTGCGTTTTGGCTGACTGTTATCATCACCTCCGGCTGGGCGTAATGCAAGCCGAGGACGTACGCGTCTTTTCGGCTCCATCTCACCGTCCAATTCCCCTACTACATACCCCTTGACGTTGACTAATGACATCTGAAACCAGGTATGGGTCGGCGTATTTGGCCTCGTCGCGGCAATAGCGGGATGGCGCAGCGGATGGCAGGCCACAGCCCTGCCCAGTTCGACGTCATCGACATCCCCGCCAAACCCCGACGCTGCTATAGAGCTCGAAAAGACCGGCGGTGTACCCAACTTGACGGAGGTGTCTTCTACTGTAGGGTATACCATGACGGATGCCGATATAGCCCCTGCTGGTCTGGATGAGATGTAAGAGATCGGTAGGATCTCCGCTTGTCTGTTTGCTCTGGCGCTATCCAAGCAGCCTGTTAGTGTTCCCTACTATTTCCCAGCATCAAGGGTCATTCGTCACGACATATGTTGCTGTTTATCGGAGCGAACGCTGCTATGTAACAATGTAACTATACTCGCGACTCTGCGTATTGAACATGCGCGCCTGTGGATTGCATGTGGGACTCCGACATCTTCAGTGTTCTTCTTCCATTAGCGCTCGCGATCCCGTCTAATTTTCCAATCGGGTGCCGTCCATCGAGTCCAAGTAGCATTGGCGTTGGGCAGCAAAGATCGAATGGTAGTCTGTCAAGCTGGCGAAATTATTATGCCACACGGTGTGTGGCATAGCATGTGTCGGCGCCACTGTAACTCGTCAATGATATAAGTTACTCTGGCTATTAATAGGATCCCTTACATTCTCCACCGCTTCACGTTAGCAAGTACTGAAAATGTGACAGCGACTGAACATACCTGTAATGCACATATATATAACTAGCCGTAGTACGGATACCATATCAAGGTTTTAAGCGTCGACAGGATCCCTATGTTCATCCGGCGCGTATCATCTATCAAGCTCGTCACTAGCAAGGCGCCGTTTCCATAGCGGCGTCGCAAGTCTAATCTAATGGCGCCCCGCTGTTCAGCCCCTTTAATGCTGATACATGGACTCGTCTTTATTGTCTAGGTCGACCATGCGATGTGATTCGACATGCACAAAGACCTGGAGCAAAGAATGGACGTCAGATATGATTACCTCGTCAGATATAATTTATTCGGGAGGGTAACGGCGGCTACCTTTGGACTTCTCCCCTGCGAAAGGTTGAGTCCACCAGGGTGTTGTGGTTGATTGAGGGAGCGAGAGCACGATGTGTCTCTGGCCCCTGTAAGCTGTTGTCCAGGCGCAGCTTCTGGATCACCGCCACTAGGCTCAGTGGTGCGATTGTACTTCCTCCCGGACCTCGAGTTGAGGGTCGACATGAACGAGTTGGTTTACAATTTTGAGAGTGGGAGATTGAAAGCGAGGTGCCTGTCAGCACGATGTATTGTGAATCAGTATCGGCTCAGGGGAGATACTGACAGTCCTGATGCCTGGAAGGAGGTCAGTAAAATGGGTAAGTGGTGAGATGCCGAGACATGAGACGCAGTCGAAGATGGATTTGACAGTATCAGCCACGAACAAGAAGATGACCTATAGCTAGCAAGAATGACCATTGGCAGGCAAGCAAGGAACAAGTATGGGTACCGTACATAGCACTTCATCCATGACCTATCCTTATCTCGTGCAGATAAGCCGAGAGTGTTGCGAGCAGCATCTCGACTCACTTTGGGAAAGCCTTGAAGTAAAGGAACGTCTGATCACCCCTACCTCCCTGCCTGCTTGCTCTATAGAGAAGGCTCTGCGAGAGTTGGGACAGAGAAAACGCCGCAAGTAACTGGCCTCCGCCCGGCACACGTGTATCCCGCGTTCTTAATGATTTTGGCTACTTGGCCCGTTCGTACCCCGCTGCCAGGAAACGCGCTCGGATACGGGCGGGGAAATTCCACAAAGCCTATTTCGAAGCGTGCACGTTGGAGCCGCCGTACCTAGTCCGTTATGACCGCTTGTAAAGCCTGGACTGGTGGTGGGGGATGCCTGCGGTGTCGCCGCTTCACTACACCCCAGAGGGAGCTCGAAGTGGTGGTAAACAGTTCCGTTGACATTCTGCACCCTGCCTGCATAATCGGAGAGTGAGTGATGAAGATTGAAGTTACCGATTACTCAGTACCAATACGTCCGAGGCGCCAGCATCCTAATGCGACACAGTGCTGGTAAGCAAACCGATGGAATGCAGATATTACTCACCACTCCAGACCATCCCCAACGTTCGATTGAACCAGCAAATGGAGGCACAAATTTTACGTGCATCCATTAGCTAAAGATAGCCTTCACAGCTTTCGGTGCCGCGGAAGTGCCCGTGTTCAGCTCGTAGATCGCAGACCGCACTCCACTTCATTCCACAATTCCTGTAGGCCTTGAAGATATTCGTGAGACATTAGTGCGATAAGGCCTCAATGTTGCGAAGAAGGTAACTTGCCTCAGTCATCAAGCAACAACCACCGTCGCCAGGTTCGTAGTATGGTCCGGCCGTGATAATTTCCATAGCCTAGCCCGTGGATGTCAATGATAGCATACACAATGGACAGGGCGCCAGAGAAGGTAGCAGAATGGACGATCCAGCGATCTGAAATGAAGTATCGCAGAAGTATACGGGTTTCAATTTTTAATCAATCAAACTGGAAGCGCGGTACCATCCATCCTATCGCAACAGAGGCGTGGCTGAGACACATGCAGTATTACTCACTGCACGCATTCTTTGTTGTTCGGTTGGAAGTTTGGAGAGAGCGAAGGTGAACCAAGGGCAGCACTATGCATGCCCCACCAGTTGACCTTTCAGTTGAAACCATAGGTACGAGAAACATTGAAACGGAATCCGCAGCTTGATCCACTGTCATGGGAGATACCCTTGAAATTAATTTCTCGCATCCCGTTTGCGCTCGCGCGGCTATTTATGGAGCTGGAGCGGGGAGATCAGACTGCTCCCCAACGTTGAATGTTTGGATGGCACTTCTCCAGATGGAAAGTGAGGCGGTGGCTGCACTGACAAGAGCATGCTAAGCACACATGAGCAACCTGCTGCTGTTCTTCAAGCACAACCTGAGGAGCTCCATTTGCGCGACTATGCGAGCATCAGCTGCTCGCCAGTCCCTTGAGTATGCCAGCTAGCATCATGGAAGATCTGTGGCCTCTGCTAGCGCTCCTTTTCTAACCGGCTGCACAGATCACAGAACCTGCATGACAAGCATTGGCAAGGCATGGTGCTCGGCGCACGTCAGTGCCGATGATAGCCATCGGAGACAGTGACAGCTTAAAATTTACCATACGAGGCGCACTACCCACCTTGTAATCGTGCCGGGTTCCTTCTGTCCAGATTAACCCAGCGCCGCTGACCGAGGGGTAGCCTGGAGCCACGATGGACAGTTGTGGCAGTGGCCGGATGGACTACAGTCCGGCTATCGGGTCATAGTCGTACGCACTGCAGGCAGAGGGAAACAGTTCCTTGTCAAACATCATAGTGCCTTCAATGGAACATTGCCCATTGAGCTGGGAAGAGGGACCTGGAAAAAAACCTGAAGACTTCTGACAGAACTTCAAGTTACAGTATTTCGGCAGATGCCGATAACATATTATCAATATTAATTAGATAACGGTACCATCGCTGGGAGTCAGACAACTCGAATGCATGATCATGAGGTGTATGAAGCGCTGGTGAGAAAGAAATGCGAAGTCATCGCACATCAATATAAAGCTCAGGTCCACACTGCGATGCAGCAGACCTGAGCGGCACCCGCACTAGCTCAACTTTCCGACCTCAGGCTCAGGTGCAGGGGAATTGATCCGAGGATAGCCGCTTCATACCCCTCGGAGATGTCGCAGTTCAGGAAGGCGCTGTCACAGGCTACATCTGACTGTCAGGTGCGACGTCGACTGGATGCCGAGGCTATTAACTGCGTGGAAATGGACAAGCTAGACGAGAAGTGACCGTAAGCTATCCACAAATAAATTTGACTCGGATTCGAAGCGGAACGACTCCTAGTGCTGAACATTAGCTACCAGCTCGCACCTTGTTACACGGTACCGGTTTGCAACCCAGCCCTTCGTACTGGGTTCTGGCACGCTGAGTACTAGTGTCATGCTTCGTGCCGTACGACAAGACGCCCGCTCTCTCAGCCCACGTATCAGGGTCGTCGGACCTGGTGCATCCAGGGATATCAGAAAGGGACATCCCGGTCATAATGCTGATAGTTAGCATCCCGACATGACATAGTGTACCTTTATAATCTCCGTGTAAGGGGGCCAACGAATCGAAACCCGTCGATGCAGATATTAGAACACCGGACACCTTTGATTAGCCCTAGGGCTTATGTGGCAATACCGCGGCACTGGCACACAGTACTAGTGAGGTGAAACAAGTTGTCGGGTGTCATGATAGTAATGGATCAGCAGGGAACTAGTATTCCAGGAGTATAAGGCTCTTCTGTCACTACAGGTCGCATGGCAACGTCGCCGACATAGGGAGCTGAGATACAGCTCTCGGCGGGCCCCACAGGCGTTCAAGGCGGTATGTACGGATTCCCAATGGACTGTAACGGATAGCCCGAAGGATGGGAAAGTCGCATGAAATAACCTAGGATGCGACTGCGCAAGCGTAATGTAAACAACACATGTGAGAAGGACCGCGGTATCTCTGCGTTCGAATTTCTTTAGAGCCAATGGATGCGTTCGATGAGGTCAGTCTCGGCAACATCAAGTCCGCGGGTTTCTTCAAAGAGAGTGTCTATGATTCGCGGTCGACAGAAACGTGGCATAGGGTACGAGCGAGCTATGCCACAAACGTTCTGTTGGATAGATATCTGTGGATCATTCAACAAGACGAAGACCGCAATGAGTCAGAAAGACTTAGTTCCTCAATCATTAACCACTTACAGGTAACCATTGTCGCTATAATGAATATCTCATCAGATGAGCCCAATAACGCGCCTGTATCTATCTCTAAGATTACAGGTCTCGATATGCACAGCATCCTAAATACGTCAGAAGGGACCCGCTAGGTAGACGCTATCGTGCAGAATCATGCAGGTAATCCCCCGGCTACCCGAACGTGCAAGTCATGCATGATGCACCCTGCGAACTTCACCCTGACTTTGAACCATAAACTAGACATGTGCTCTTCGTCCAGCGCACGCACAGCTTTGTTCCCAACTCCGCGAGCCTTTGATGACTTCTCCATCCATGCCAAGCAGCAGTTGACCGCCGCTTCGATGGACAATCAGGAGCGCCGATTTCCCAAGCATCCTTGCACAGCTCTCGATTCACACGAGGGGTGGTCCTACCAGGGTTCGTAGATCCGGCGGGAGGAAGGCTTGGAGGCTCGTGATAGTCTCTCAGTGCGGTCAGATATACAGACGGCAACGTGCATCCCAGCTTCGTGGACGAAACAACAAGTCAGGATGCTGAAAACGTGGGAAGGCGAGTGGTAAGTCGCGTTTACGCCACCAAATAGGATGTAGACCTTTACCACGCACTTTGAGGAGGAGGAGACGGACTTCGGTAGCTAGTGTCTCCGTTATTAATCCGGGATAAGTAATAAGCTCGCCATAAGGGGACGAATGCAGCCCGATAGGTCGGACCAAGTGCTGGATAGAAACATATTGCGGTGGCACGGTCTTCCATAATCAACAGCAGGGTATATCGCGACCATCACGCCTCAGCGGAAGGGATAGCCTGCGGATATAGCAAGCGGCACGCGATGGAAAATTCTTGTCGGGACGCAGCAGGAACAAGATAGGTCTGGGGCGCCCAGAAGGTAGGAAGCTGTGAAAAAGGCTTGTGTATCTCGCGGCAGACAGTCGTAGCTTTCCGTCATAGTAGATTGTATCCGCGAGGAGGATAGGCACCTGCCAGTGGGACATAGCTGTAGTACAAGCTCAGGCTTGTGTTTGAGGTCATTTTGCCATGGCATGACTTGGACTTGGCTCGCCACAAGTCCTTCATATCCGCGCCACGAAGGATGGCCTCGCTCAAGGCCAAGAGGCGGGGCGAAAACTGGGCGCTCCACTGGATGAGCCGCGATCGACGTGGGCAGTGTACTGCCAGGCTACATATTGCTTTTGTAGGATGCGATTCGAACGCAAGACCCGCGCCGGAAGCAGAAAATTCTATCGAATCTTGCAGTGCCTCTCGTTATCGCTGCGGAGTCGGCCAAGAACATGGTATGTGAGGGAATTCGAAGTTGCAGTAGAAGAATAAGGCAGATAATGCGAGCGAAGACTGCCTCTCGTTGCGTTGTAGTTACATGTTTGTCCATTGTAATCCGAAAGAAGGAATTACCGTGTGCAAATGTCCGCTGCGTCCCATGCCCGGTGTCCGGACAGCATCCGCATCAGCGTCGGGCCTCTGTTCGCCTTCGGAAGGGCTATACGGCTGCATAGACTTCGAGCTTGAAGCATAAGCCTGAAAATTGAGTCCGGCTCTAGAAAGGAGCGGGGCCTTGGGGCAAAGTGGGCCCATGGCGGTGGGCGTGAGACCAGGCCGGAAGCTCGATTGGTCTATACAGTCCACGGAAGACAGTGGAGAATCCAGATCAGAGTATTGCACTCTGGCCCGATAAGCGCTGGCGAGCGTAGCCTATCACGCAGCACAAAGAGACGCCCAAGTCCCCAAGCGCCCCCGAAGCCTCCGAATAGTCTGACCCTGTCACAGCGGCGCCAATACTCCTATTAGATCGCGTCCTTGTATAGGACCGGCTGTGCAACATTTCTGACTGTTTACTTTCACAGCTTTGGTTGTTGATAAGGCGTACTCGACGGCGGATGGTGAAGCCCTGGCCCTCGACGCTCAGCGGACGATTCAGACAGACCAAGTCGACCCAAGGCTCTTGGCGGCATTACGTAGCGCACAGCCCCGCCAGGTTCATAACTGGCCCCAGACGATAAACGGCTGTTCCACTTTGCTTTTCTATCCTCGTCCTCGCCCGCTACACGTTGCCGCTTCATTGCTTTCCTTCCTTTTCTACTCTACAGCTTTCTAGTACCGCAACATGTCCGACCGCCCCATTCCTGCAATCGTGACCAGCGAGTTCGGCGACGAGGACGGCGGCGGCCACCGTTATAATCAGGCACCGACGCCCCCCTCGGATTCTCCTACTTTTAATCAACAGCATCAGAGATCGCCTAGCGACCCAGCATTTCTGTCGCCTCTCAATGTCCCAAAGTCGCCACATTCGCCCCGTAGCTCTGTGGACGGCCATCTCCTTTCGCCTCACTCCCCGACGCCCTCAGATGACGGTGCATCCACGTCTTCCACAGTTCCGCCCTCTCCGACTTTATCCGCCCGTTCCTCTGTGCATTTCGCCGACCCGCCATCCACGCTTGCTCTGCGGTCCAACCACCCCGGGGATGGTATGACCAGCCTTAATTTAATACGCGGACACGGCCGGAAAGGCAGTGACGCGAGTGCGCTGACCTATGTCGGCGACGCTGCATCGAGCGCCTCCGCGAAAGCGGACTCTGACGCGCAGCACGACCACGACACGCACTTGCACCCAGTCCCCGTACCCAAAGACAGGCGCGGCAGCGACGCGCACTCGCAGCTCACGGTCGCGAGCCCCACGCAGACGTACGTGGACTCGTCCTCCGAGCACTCGCCCTCGCGCTCCCACTCGCGCTCCCGGTCGAAGGGGAAGGCGTCCAGCGAGTATGACGCGTCGTTGGAGATGTCGCCGCGCTCGCCGTCTACGGAGGAGCACGATCCCCTGCGCAAAGACAAGGGCAAGCAGAAGAAGAGCGATGACGACGAGGAAGGCGAGGGCAGCCGCCCTGCGCACATAGACGCGGATCAGGACAAGGATGTCGATCCCACGCCGTTCAAGTGGAGGCCTCTACAGTTGGCGTCATTAGTCGATCCCAAGAATCTGAAGGCCCTCGAGGATATCGGAGGCGCCGAGGGCCTTCTGGCCGGTCTGGGTACTCATCCGAAACTCGGGTTATCTGCCAAGGCAGCCGAGGAAGCAGACCACGGTGGAGGCGACGGGAAAGGCGCTGGCGAGGGTAATTCCCAGCGTCACGAACGGACGACAAATGGCGACGCGGAGGGTATGCCCGCAAAGGTTTCGTCGCCTTCGCACCCGGCTCCTCCTATGATAAAGGTGACGAGTTCCGGAAGTGGGGAGGAGGACTTGGACTCTTTCCAGGGAAACTGGGATGCAGGATCTCACAAGGGGCACGATGACGAGGGACACCCTAAGCCGGACCCCCGCGTTGCTGAGGCTGCATATGCTGCGTCTCTGGACGAGAGAAAGCGCGTGTACGGTGCTAATATCTTGCCCCACCGCGCGAGCAAGAGTCTGTGGAAACTGATGTGGTTAGCTCTAAAGGACAAAGTTTTGGTGCGTGTATCTTGATCTCCGTTCGTTTGCAGACGATATATGTTACGCGGAAATTAATTGTCACAGTTGGGCGTCAATATACTAATGCTGCCGCCCGTAGATTCTGCTATCCATCGCAGCTATCGTGTCTTTGGCTCTCGGTCTCTTCCAGGACTTTGGTACTCCGCGACCTGCTGACGAACCCCCGGTTGATTGGGTCGAAGGTGTCGCTATATGCGTGGCTATCTTCATCGTTGTACGTGCACATCTCATCACCCATTCCTGCTCGCAATAACGAACCCGCGCTTCTTCGGACGCAATAGGTCATGGTCGGATCAGTCAATGACTGGCAGAAGGAGCGCCAATTCAAGGCGCTCAACGAGAAGAAGGAAGAACGTGGCGTGAAGGTGATCCGCTCGGGCACGGAGCGCGTGATCGACGTGCGCGAGGTCGTCGTCGGCGACATCTGCCTGCTCGAGCCCGGTGAGATCGTCCCTTGCGACGGCGTCTTCCTCGAGGGGCATAACGTCAAGTGTGACGAGAGCGGTGCCACGGGGGAGAGTGATGCGATCAAGAAGGTGTCTTATCAGGATTGCATCAATCTGAGGAACAGGGAGGGGCACGAGGCGAACCATACGGATTGCTTTGTGGTGAGCGGGAGCAAGGTCCTGGAGGGGGTGGGCACGTATGTGGTGATTGCGGTGGGGCAGAAGAGCTTTAATGGCCGGATTATGATGGGTAGGTCCCCCTGGTGAGAACTTCTTTATAGCGCTCATACTCTGTTTAGCTTTGCGTGGGGACTCGGAGAACACGCCTCTGCAGTTGAAACTGAATGATTTGGCAGAGCTCATCGCCAAGCTTGGGAGTGCCGCCGGGTTGTTGTTGTTCACTGCTCTCATGATCCGGTTCTTTGTCCAACTCGGCACGAACGACCCGCCTCGGTGAGTGGTTCTCGCCTTGACGTCGGGTGATGGCACTCATACATTTGGTCGCATCAGTACTGCGAGTCAGAAGGGTATCGCCTTCGTGCAGATCTTAATTATTAGTGTCACGTTAGTTGTCGTCGCCGTCCCTGAAGGTGAGAGTGACGCATCATATGCCTCAACTGTTCTGACGAACGTGATTAGGTCTTCCACTCGCTGTCACGCTGGCTCTGGCCTTTGCGACAAAACGGATGACGAAAGAAAATCTCCTGGTCCGCGTCCTGGGCTCTTGCGAGACCATGGCGAACGCGTCCGTTGTATGCACCGACAAGACCGGCACGCTCACGCAGAACGTGATGACCGTTGTCGCCGGCTCTGTCGGGATACACGCCAAGTTCGTCCATCGACTCGACCAGAACCAAGCGCGCACGAACGCGGACGAGGAGGTGGAAGGGGAGGCATCGAAGAAGAGGAGACATGCGGATGATTTCTCGCTGGACCAGAACGAGTTGGCGGGCGTGCTTAGCCCGCCACTTAAGGATCTATTCAATGATGCTATCGCTATCAACTCGACGGCTTTCGAGGACGATGACCCGGATACTGGGAAGAAGGTGTTCGTGGGTAGCAAGACGGAGACGGCGCTGCTCAAGTTTGCGAAGGAGCTTGGCTGGTCGCACTACGCCGAGATCAGGTCTTCGGCAGACATTGTGCAGATGATTCCGTTCTCTAGCGATAGGAAGGCTATGGGCGTCGTCGTGCGGTTGCCCAAGTCTAACACTTACAGGCTTCACCTCAAGGGTGCTAGCGAGATCCTGACGAAGAGATGCAACGATCATGTCGTTGTCTACCGTCAGGGTGCTGACGAGCACCGGGATGGCGTCGAGACCCAGGCTATCGACGAGTTGAAGCGAGAGAATATCGACAGGACTATCATATTCTATGCCAACCAGACTCTTCGGACTATTGCACTTTGCTACCGGGACTTTGAATCGTGGCCGCCGCCTGGGGCCAGACATGTATCTGAGGATGAGGTAAGTGCTCGCGCGTTGGCTGTGTACACCTCAATCGAACTGTTGTACAGGTTGAATTCGAGGACATCGCCCAGGATATGACTCTGATCGGTATCGTCGGTATCGAGGATCCCCTCCGGGAAGGCGTACGGGATGCAGTCGCGGATTGCCACAAAGCTGGTGTTACGGTCAAGATGTGCACTGGCGACAACGTTCTGACCGCTCGGTCGATTGCCATCCAGTGTGGGATATATACGAAAGGTGGCATTATCATGGAGGGCCCGATCTTTAGGCAATTGTCCAAGTCAGACAGGATGGAGGTCGTGAGTCGTTTGCAGGTCCTTGCTCGATCCTCCCCAGAGGATAAGAAGATACTGGTCGAGAGTCTTCGGGAACTTGGCGAAATCGTGGGCGTCACTGGCGACGGCACTAATGATGGTCCGGCTCTCAAGACGGCTGATGTAGGTTTCTCCATGGGTATCGCTGGTACCGAAGTTGCCAAAGAGGCGTCCGATATCATCCTCATGGACGATAACTTTGCGTCTATTGTGAAAGCCATCATGTGGGGTCGTTGCGTCAACGACGCCGTCCGGAAGTTCTTACAGTTCCAGATCTCGGCGAACATCACTGCTGTCTTGATCACGTTTATCTCTGCTGTGGCCTCGTCTTCAGAGTCGTCCGTATTATCGGCGGTGCAGTTGCTGTGGATCAACATTATCATGGACACCTTTGCCGCTCTTGCCTTGGCTACCGATCCGGCGTCTACTGCTCTCTTGGACAGGAAGCCCGAATCTAAGACGGCGCCTCTGTTCAGTGTGGATATGTACAAACAGATTTTCGCTCAGTCGGCTTATCAAACCACCATCACCCTCATCTTCCATTTCCTTGGTTTAAGTATCCTTGGCCTCGAGGCGTCGAGTCATAATGATTCGATTGTTCAAACATTGGTCTTCAACATCTTCGTCTTTGCACAGATATTCAACTCTATCAATTGTCGTCGCCTTGACCGCAAGTTGAACGTGTTCGAAGGAGTTACTAGAAACTACTACTTTATTGGAATCACTCTAATCGGTTCGTACATTGACATTTCCCCTCGCTCGTGTCATTGACTTCTCGACAGAAATTGCGGTCCAAGTGCTTATTGTTTTCGTGGGCGGCGCCGCTTTCCAAGTTACTGAAATTGGCGGACGGGAATGGGGGATCTCCATTGCCCTTGGCTTCGTTGCGTTGCTGGTTGGATGCCTGGTCCGCTTGATACCCAACAAACCAGTGGAGAAATTGTTCATCAAGATACGGCTTCTTCCTAATCCAAACGTTCTACCCACAAATAGCCCTCAGGCAGACGCGGAGTCGTGGAACCGCGCAATCGAACTTGTGCGGGATAACCTCGGTACCTTCGCTAAAGTGCGGGGCGGCAGAATGCGTGGATCGTCCTTTGTTGGCAAGAGCCGGAACGCTAGACTGGACGAAGGGCACATTGTGTAAGTTCGCCTCATGGCCTGCGTAACCTCGTTTCGTACTCATGCGTTTGGCAGGCCGTCTCTCATGACTATGGTGCCAACCTTAATCGCGTCCTCAGTAGGTGCCGGCTGGGCACCGCAAAGCGGTTCCTTGTCCGACCCTGCGCACAACGATCCGTCACGATCTACCGCTGCCTTATGGGAAGGGAAGTTCCAGATACACCCGGAAACCAGCCCAGACGATCCGTTTATTCAGAAGTGGAAGTCTCGTGCGGACGCAGTGCGGCAGTCATGACCATGTTTACGCTATATACGATGTTTCATGCATAGAATGTCTGCTCGTCGAACTGCCAATAATACACCATCACTGTAAAAAACTCATCATAGTAGAACAGATATTAGCATCGAATGGGATACCTGTTGCTAGTATATCCTTATGCCTATATATGTATATACGAATAGGGCTAGCAACTAATGCAGTCTTGCGAGAACATCATGTGGGATTCGTCGGTCAGGAGAAGGAGTGACGGTGGGTCCTCTTCCGAAAGTGGCATGTGTGCTTTCTCCTACCAGTGCCACACTTGGGCTGCAGTGCCACATTCGCGTTCGCACGTGAAAGCCGCAATCGGGGATCATGCAGGTACACAGCTTGGGGTAGCCTGCTGCCGGTCCCTGCTAGCACTCCTGCTGAAACCCATCTCCTGACTACTCTACGCTGAGCGACTGCCGAAAGATGGGACGCCCTCTGGAGACCTCTAGCAGCGAAAGCTTGACTGTGCGAGACAATCGTACCGGCAAGACTTACAATATACCGTGAGTTGTGCAATGAGTGTCATGACCAGTCCGAGTTACGACGCGGGTGGATACCTAGCATTGTGGACAACTCTGTGTCGGCGACGGCGTTCAAGGCGATCTCTGCCCCGGCGAAGCCGAATGAGCGCGAGGAGAGCGGGACGGAGAAGGGTCTGCGGGTTGCGGATAAGGGGTTCTTGAATACTGCTGTTATTCAGAGCGAAATAACTTATATTGATGGAGAGGCTGGTGGTATGTCCCACTGGCCTGTGACTGCCCCATATTCTGATGAGGGCGCTCTGCGTATCCAGTACTTCGCTACAGGTAAATCACACTCAGCCATGTAATGGCATGGCAGCCTTAACGGAATATCATCCAGAGGATATCCTATTGAACAACTCGCTCTACACTCTTCGTTCTTGGAAACCGCGTACCTACTAATCTACGGCTCGCTGCCCACGAAAGACCAGTTCCGTGTCTTCGAGACGGAGGTTCTGCACCACAGCATCATTCATGCAGACGCGGAGGAGTTTTTCCGCTCCTTCCGGTAAGACTGCCCTGTGAGTATTCACTGTGCCTGGCTGATTTCCTGGTATGCAGCTACGATGCGCACCCTATGGCGATCCTTACGAGCGCGTTCGCCTACCTGGGGTCGTACTACAGTGAAGCCAATCCGTCGCTCCAAGGCAGGCAGTGTTGTGCTCTCAGACAAGCTGTATTCCATCTGATACGCAATTGAAGGGCAAACGCTCTTCACAAAGGGCGACAAGGCGTCCCTTGCAAATATGGACAAGCAGATATTCAGGCTCATCGGGAAAGCTACTACTCTTGCTGCGTAAGGGCTCTCCTTGATATTAAGAAATAGTGCTCGCGCTGACGCACTGTCAGTATGGCCTACCGTATACGCCAGGGTCGAGACTTCGTGATTCCCCCGACAGGACTGAGCTACACCGGATCGTAAGGAGGCCTCCTTCCTGCTACACCCCTGCACTCATCAATATCTTCCTTATGCAGCTTTCTCTATCAAATGGACCACCTCGGCGAAGAAAACTATGTGCCGAACCCCGTGCTGTGCAAAGCGCTCGACGTGCTCTTCCTCCTGCATGCAGACCACGAGCTGAACGCGAGCTGCACCACCGTGCTGCAGACCGGCAGCTCGCTCGTGGACCCGTATTCGGCCATTGCGTGAGTCCGCCTGGGTTACTTCCCGTATAGGAGGAGAGGCTGATTGCAGGGAAAGGGCGGGGTGTGCATCGCTATAGTGCGTCTGGCATTGGCTCCTGATGGGGGATTTGACATTTATGGACGGTTTTGCAGCGGGCCGTTACATGGTTCGTGACTTCCTCTCGCGTGCCCGAACACCACGAGTCTAACATAGGTCCGATTTATAGGTGGTGCGAACGAAGCTGTCATTCGCATGCTCATATCGATCGGGAGGTACGTAGCGCTGCAGCTCTCTGGAGACGGCTCTGACGCGACGTTGCAGCCCTGCAAACGTGCCTGCGTTCATTGAGGCTGTCAAGAGGCGCGAGAAGGTGCTGTCTGGGTTCGGTCACCGGTGAGTTTGTCAGTGTTTCGGAGTCAAGCGGAGCTGACAACGTGCTGGCAGTGTCTACAAGACGGTGAGACGGCCACTTGCTGTCAGGTTGCAAACCAGGCCTGACGACGTCTTCTTTTACGAATCAATAGACAGACCCGCGGTCATATATCATCCGCAAAACCGCAGACGAGGTCTTCAAGGTGTACGTACGCATCGCACCCTCGCACGCAAGCACGCGTTGAAGCTAAGCTTCCTTTGAACAGGACCGGGCGCGACGAGCTCCTGGAGACCGCTATGGCGTTGCATGACGCAGCGATGAAGGACGAGTACTTCACGAAACGGCGACTGTACCCTAATGTGGATTTCTGGTGAGATCTCCATTGATAAAGTTAACTTCAGCGCTGACGGTTATTCCAGGAGGTGAGCGGTGATGCTTTGATTTGTGAATGACTGTTGAACAATATCCGTGCGCTCAGCGGTCTCATATACCGCGCAATGGGTAAGTTCATTGCAGTATCGTGGTCCATGCAATTCACACCGCTAACAAAAATTTGCCAGGATTCCCTATGGATTTCTTCCCAGTGCTGTTTGCAGTGCCGCGAGTGGTGGGATGGCTAGCGCACTGGAGGCAGGTGAGCGGCCAGGAGGCACTCCTGTCTGTCAGGAAATCGTTTGATTATATGATTGCAGATGATGTTGCAGGAAGGGGGCGTCAAGATCTGGCGGCCCAGGCAGGTCAGTATCTACTTCTCACCACTACAGCCACATCCATAACAACTGTTGTAGATCTATGTCGGCGCAGGCAAGCGTGACTACGTCCCCATGGCTGAGCGGGAGAGCAGCTTGGTCAACAGCGATCCCAAGAAGACACCAAGCACGGTGCCGCACTCCGGGTGAGTGCCCTCACATTGTGCCCTGTCTTGGCACGCTCCTAACCATGGCGACGCGCGCGGGAAAACCGATCTAGGATGACCAAGCGCACGATGCTCGCGAGCTACAGAGGGAAGAGCAAGCTGTAGTTAGCGTTGTGGCCGCTGTAGACGTCTGTGAATATTATTACTCTGTGCTGCCACTGTGCTCTGGAAATGGGAAAGGCAAGGAGAAGCAGGGAAGCGCAGGCTTCTGCGTCGCGTAGCGCATTGGCTGCCTGATTCGGAACAGTGCAGTTTGATGGGGCGCCGGAAAAGGCAGGTCCGTCATGCGCGTTCCCACGGGGCTTTGGCAGGCCGGGGACAAGAAAAGCGGGCTGCAACAGAACCAACATTTCTCTTCATCGTCGTCCTCTGACATTCCCCGCCCCCCTCCCGCCCCTTCCGCGCATTCCACTCCTACGCCCGCGACCACCATGTTCGCCACGCTCCTTTCGTCCACGCTCTTTTTCGCCCTTGCGATCCAGTCCGCGACCGCAGAGTTCTCCATTGACACCCCTACCTTGACTCAGGTGCGTCCAAGCGATTTGCGCTGGCGAATTCGGCTCTGACATCGGACTCGTCTTTGAAAATCGGTTCGAATAGTGCCAAGACGTCCAGTTTGGCTGGCAGGACACCGGCGCTGGCCCCTACAACCTCCTCGTTGTTCCTGGTGACGACCCCTGCAGCGACGTTGTGTAAGAGCGCCGACGAACTTTACCGGAGCGAGCTCTGACTTGATCCCCTGATAGTGCTGATCTCGGTGACCACGATGGCACCAGCATGACCTGGAAGGTCAACCTCGCCGCTGGCACGAAGGTTATGTTCTCTCTTGAAGATAACAACGGTGACGAAGCCTGGTCTGGCGCTGTAAGTCGCCTACTCAGGAGCCTATGAATACCCCTGATAACACTCCTGCAGATGACCGTCCAGGGCAGCGATGACTCTTCTTGCCTGCCCCAGGCATCCTCCTCCGCTGCCTCCAGCTCCACTGCCAGCTCCTCTGCTGCTTCCTCCAGCGCCGCCCCCACGACGTAAGCCGTTCTCATCACAAGTGCCATGATCGGCCATCTGACATCCCTTACAGGTTGGTCGTATCTGCCAACCCGACCAAGGCGGCAACCACCGCCGCCGCGACGACCTCGAGCGGCTCCGCCGTCCCCGTGGGCGCCGCCAACGCAGGCTTCAACCCCACCTCCGGTGCCTTCTCCGCCCGCCAGTTGAGCACGCCCGCCCTGGTCCTGGGTGCCCTCGGCGCACTCGTCGCACTCGCCTGAGTTCCCGGGCCCCCCTGTCCCCCAATCCGTGTATACCCAAACCCCCCTTGCACTTTCTATGATTCTGTATCCTGGAGATACACGTGTACACCACTGTCTCCGTCTCCAGGGAAGGGCTGGTTGATTTACTCTTACTTGGCGTCTATGGAGAAGTCTATAGTGGATCTGATATTGATTGATCTTTTTCTTGATCTTGGTGATTTATTGAGGTATTTTAAGAGCTCGAAGGGTACCGGTGTCAGTGGTTTCTTGGAATTGTTTGTATATTGTCAATATACTACCAGCGAATCGTGGTATTTCGCCCTCGGGCGATGGATGTCACGACCAGACGACAACGTACCTACTACGACCTTGGAGACCCTGTACTGAAACCTGCAGAAACTGCAATATCTACACCCTGACCCGCTATCGTGAGTTGCGCAATATGCCGTCAGCAATAGACGGAAATAATCGAACATGACCTTCGTCTACTATAACATTCAAGTTGCGATTTCCACCCTAGGAGTGGTTGGGCCCCCGGATCCTGGCGGAGCTTTTGCCTCCACCGGAGTAGGAGGCATGGCGAGGAACATAGCATTCGACCCTCGAGTGACCAGGTTGATACGGGCCATCCTGCCTACCAAGGTCGAAGGATCCAGCAATGCAGATAAGCCGTCTACATCTTCCTGCCCGGGTAATGTCGCGAGTCTGGCATACATTAAGATACACGGTAGAATGGAATGAGTTCCACAACTTACATGCTCTCCAAGGTCGGCAGGATGAGGAACCCGTCTCTGACGGCATCGTATTCGGACAGATCGACGAGGGTGTGCCTGGTATCGTCGAGGTCAAGCGGTCTGAGGAAGAGTGAGTCGCGCCCGGCGATCTGCGTGACTGCTCTCTTGAAGATGTTGCAAAGTTCGGTTCTCTCTTTCTCGCCGCCTCCCGATAGGGAGGGGCGGAGCCAGAGAGGGAGGCGGGCGCAAGACCAGAGCGGCGCAGTGGTTATGCTCTGCCATCCGCTGAGGCACACCTAACAGCGGCGCGAAAATCAGTCTGCACGATCCCGGATGTGGCCGACACGTACGATCTTCGAAGGTTCCTCCGGATTCACGTGAATATTCTTCAGACTCAACCTGTGCAGATCCAACGAGAAGGGCGCCAGGTCCGGGTCGTCCTCATCCAGCCCGCGACATCGGCTGACGAGCTCGAACATCAGCCCCGCGGTCCGCTCCACCTGCAGCCGCACGTCCTCGACGCCGCGCTGGTAGTCCGCCGACGTGTCCTGCGCGAACATTACGCGCGAGCAATCGAGCTCCCGTTGCGCGCATGCGAGGAAGTAGGCGCGGGCGGTGGGGAAGGGGCCGCGGTGGAGCGAGAGGTGAGCGCGTCCGTCGACGTAGAACACGGGGCGCGTGACAGGCCCGAGAGTGATTTCACCGTCGTCTTGCTGTACGAGACTGCCGATTTGGGGGAAGCGGATGGAGAAGACGTCGAGCATCCATCTGGCTACTTGGGTGATTATTTCGTTCCGTTGGAATGGGGTGAGAAGTGTGAATATGGGTTCCAGTGGCGTCCCAGCGATCTGGACAGCGGATGAATACGCTGTGCTGTAGGTGCAGAGCGGTAAGGGGTCACCTTCTGGGTGAGGATGTAAGGCCCGAGATTGTTGTTGGCCTCAAAGCCACAGGCCAACACATGGGGTACGGGAATGGAGGTATGACTCCGGATATATTCTATAGTGGCCACCTGTAATATGCAGTGTCGATGAGGCATGAGCGAGACTACCGGAAAGCCTATGGTTACCTCGGAGTGAAGTATGGGGGCCAAAGCTCCCGATGTAGCCACTCGGGCTATGATATCGGGTCCTTCAGACATGGCGATACGATAGGACTGGTGATCATCCACATCGGGTGAGTTGGACCCGCTGAACTATGCGGATTGAACATACTCTGCAGACATCATCTTCAGATGCAGTGAGCGGTCCGACTCAGCATCAGAGGGTCATGATGAGTCCTGTACCTTTCCCAAGAAAGTTGATCGAGGCGACAGATCGATTTGTCTTGCCTTGTACCACTTCTTTGAGCGTTTCGAAGTCAATCCCTTGCGCCGAAGAAGCTCCAGACATATCCCAAGACACGACACTGAGGAAGAAGTCAAGTTGTCAGATATGTTTATCGACGGCTCGCTGGCGTCATCGACATGGCGACTTACACGTGTGCGATCCGACGAGACAAAGATATGTCCATAATTACCCGGAATTCATAGCCATTCGTATGGGTCTCTGGAAATGAAATCATGTTTTAAGCTTTCGGCGCCAGAAGCGCATCTGCACCAAACGTACCGACAATCCGGACGTCTCATTGTACTAATTTAGTTTTGTAGCTGTAGCACTGCTTATGCGGTGGCCCTGTACGTGCAGATCCCTTTGACATCGTTATCGTTGGATGCTGAGCTTCTTTCAAAGCGTCGTAGATCCCTTGATCGTCAGATCAGCCACACCACTCTACATCTTTCGCCGCCACAACGTTTCATCATGTCCAATAGTCATTCGGATTGGCACATTGTGTAAGTGCTGTTTGTGCGTGGCACGATACGAACTGACTCGCCTTCGTGTAGGACTGTGCGAGTCCCCTTCGCATCGGCCAGGCATACGGCGATTGCGAAGCAAGTCATCGAGGTTGACCGAGAATTACAGCCACATGCCGTCAAGCGATCGCTCATCGTGGAGGACGATATCTTGGTGGCGTATGTCGAAACTGCTACAACCGAATCGCCAACAATCTGAGCATGTCATGACAGAACATTCACGACATTAACGGTTCGCTTAGCGAGATTGACGGTAAACGCGTTCCTGGAGAACGTCGAGCTAGTTGTTCGGACAATCGGACAGTTTGGCGAAGACGCGGAACGGGTGCCAAGCTAGCAATACAGTCTGTTGCACAACAGCAGCCGGACGCGCAGGAAGTACACTATTCAAAACAGTATACACCTATAGTGCACATTTACTTCTTCTTTGTCCATTTCCTTTAAGCAGCAGCAGCGTCGCCGCCAGCCTTCTTTGCAGCCTTCTTCGCCGCCTTCTTATCCTCGCGCAACTTCTTTGTCAGCAGCTCTTTCAATTCAGGATCTTCTAGTTCCTTGTCCGATTTCACCAGCTCTGGTTTGTACCAGACGGGTGGATGAGTGACCAAGGCTGGCCCAGCAGGGAGGAGAGCGATCGTGAAGTGGAAAGCGGCGACAACGGTACCAGGCGGCGTGAAGCTTCATTGAAACAGGGGATCAACAGTTATTCGGCGTATGATTCATTGGATCAGACTTACACAACTTCGTATGGCTTCACAAGATTGTGTTGGACAGCCTCTTGCAGTCCTAACCGTGCCCGCTTCTCGTCTTCCAAAACGCGAATGTTGAATGGGAAGGCACCAGCCTTCTTTTGGACATCAGAGAACACCGCTCTTGATGTCTTCATCTTCAGCTGGTAAGTAACAGTCGACTCGCGCTGGTACACAGTCGTCCGTGATTCCTCTGTCCGAGCCTGAAGCGAACCAAATCATGGATCTCAACCTGATTATACATAATGATCAAGACGTACCTTGCCATCCTCTCCAGTGGAGACGAGGATGTCAATACCATAGACTTCATTCTCGGCAAATGTCGCAGTCTCAAAGTCCTTCTTCTGGGCTTCGCTGGGGTTCAGGATAATACGCTTCTTCCCGTCAATGACATTCTGTGACTGTTGACAAGAGAGCATGCCTACATTCGCGCTTGTCAGAATGTAATTCGAAAAGAGGGGAGGTCATACATACCTTCGACAGGCTTGCACCCAAACGCAGCGGTCACCTTCTCAACCGCCTGCGTTACATCCCAGTTTTTGTTGCCCACTTTGACTAGGCGCATAGCGACCTCAGCAGCGGTCCACGCAGCCTTGATCGCATCCGCCCGCCTGCCAGTAACAGGCTCCTTCTCCGAAGCACCCACGACCACCGTCTCCGCGCTGATTGCTGCGAATCCATCGATGTGGGCGCCCAGGTGAATCTTCACGACGTCGTCTTTTGCGAGGGTCTGCCCAGAATTCGGGTCCGATCTGGATGGGGAGCGTATATCAATATCTCGGTACGGGGTCGCTGGCATCTCCGCACTGAACCGGCGTAAAAGACATACTCCAGGGGAGAATAATGCGCTACCGCGTTATTGACGGAGACGCAGGTGGGGAAGGCGATACCTGCATTATAGCACGCTTAAAGAACGACCATATATAACACGTAAAGGAAGACGCACCCTTGCTGACTTTTACACCCTTCACCGATTTATTGTACACTGCACCCGTGCCCTGTTCGAGGAGTTTATCCCCTTCAATGCAGAGATCGATAACCTTCGCCCCCTCCTTCGTGAGCTCGACCAGCTTTTTCAGCGCATTGTTCACGATATCCGCCGCGGTCTAAAGAGCAAACGGTGCATGGTAAACTAAAGCGCTCTGCGAGGCGGCGTATGAACGCGGCGCACCTTGTATTTCGTGAAATCAGCCTCAGCCGTTGACTTGGGGGCCTCCGTCTTGGGGACCTCGGCGGGGGGCGTCTTCTCAGCAGCTGTGTCGGACATGGTACTTGGTGGATCGATGGAGGTTACGAGAGGATGAGAATAAGACGTAACGATAATCGGTCTCGTGCTGTGGACTTCATTTTATTCGCGACCTCGAAAACGTGAGCTTCCTCTTTCGGACAGTATTGTATATGAAGGTCTAGCAAAGCTCTGTATAACAAGCGCACGACTGCAAGGTATCTAGGGTATGATAATGATAGACACGACAATATAAGCAAGCACGATAAATACTGTATAGATCCAATCCAGCTAGAAATGTGCACCCCAATGCCGTAGCTTGAGCGACGAACCCATCCTAAAGCTATATCATCCCTTGTCGTCCTTACCATTCTTTCCTTTCGCCGCGGGTTTCCGAGCTACGAATGCTCTGATAATACGACAGGTGGATTGTTCTGATCCCGGGCTGGAGGGCTCTTCGAGGTCGTCAATCGGCCCGACACCCTGCCTCCATACTTTCCACTCGGGCCGCTCAAAGTCCTGCAAGGGCTCCTGCCACATTAAGGAAGACTGAACGTGGTCGCGCATACTGGCACGATCCATCATGTCGCTGGCGACCGAGAGATTAGCCACGTCCCGGCCATGAAATAAATTACTCACTTGTACCAATTGTACCATGCGACCTCGAATTCGTCTCGGCAGGTGTTCTGGCTTGGGCGCTCCTTGAGAGGATGTACCTTAGGGTCGTCCCCATACAAGCGCTGAAACTCGTCCCAGATAGCCTCCTTGCATGCAGAGATCAAACGAATAGTCCGCATCAGGTGGATGGGGGCGCACGACTGGACCAAGAGGGATCGGTGGTTTGGACTCTCCTTGAGCTTAGCCCCGGCCTCTCCGGAAGGTCGCTTAAGCCGAGCCTTGAGCTCGAGAATGTCACCGAGGTCAATCCGTGTGTCGGGGGCGGGGACCGCTCTCCTACCGCCATCGACAAGCATACTGTTCGGCGGCAAGGGAATATTTAGAGCGGCATGGGTTTGTAAATCAACGAAATCCAGGGATGAGAGATAGAAGGGAAGCACGGAGAGCAGGCGAGGAGCGAGGAAACGAGTGTGCAGCATGGCGTCCCACGCCGCCTTCAGTTTTGAATGGTCTCTATTGTCATTGACGTACGGCTGGTCTCTAGGTTTTGATGTTCGTCCTGGAATGACAAGCGAGTTTTGGGAGTCCGATTGAAAAGTCTTTGGGAGGGAGGGAGCCTGGTCGGAAGTAGGGGTGTCGGAGTCGTATAGAGTGCTTGACCGAGCGGTCGAGAAACTGCGCGAGGATATACCATAGGTGGTCGGGAGGATGACGGAGCTGAGGGCTGGTGATGGCGTCGCGGACGTGGGAAGGGGACCGCAGGGAAATATCAGGTCATCTTCTACGACCTAAAATGGATTATGTCATAAGCAGGTCCCCGCGCGCGCTTAGTCAGATTTAACGGACCTCAAGGTAAGCCCCAGGCTTCAGGATCCGGTAAATTTCCTGTCCAGCCGTTAGGCCGTCCATGGTTTGGATACAGTCGGGTGATGGGACCTACCTCCAGCAGATCTTGCCACTGAGTAAAAAATCGAATCTCAGCTATGACTTTCGTCAAAAAAAAAAACAGCAACGCTTACCTCGTCCTCTGGGACTCCAAGGCCGATTGACGCCATCCTAACGAAGTCAAAGTGGGCGGAAGGAAACGGCAGTCTCTCCAGGCTGACGCGTAACGGCGAGGGTTACAGATTAGAGGTTATAACAGCATAAACATAAAATGCTTACAAATTGCCATGTACCCACTCGACGCGTCGGCAAATATCCTCGTACTCGGGTAGACGTTCGAGATTTGGCTGAACTTCTTGGATATCAAATCCGACGAAGGTAGACTCCTAAGAGCAAGCGATCACATTTAGTATGCACCCGCTGCGCCGCGTCGCCCACCTCTCACCTCCCACTGCTGCGCCGCATTTATCACCCAGAACCCTCCGCCACATCCTAGGTCCAGCACTCGCCGTGGCGGCTGCTCGATGTGATGTACAGTGAGACTCTTAAATATACTCTGCATGTACATGTGGTTCCAGTTGTCGCTGACCAAACAAAATCAGAATAGGTCGCACAGATCAATCAATTTCTGACTCACAAATCCATGAGGTCACTGGTGTATACCAGGGGATATGGGACCTCACCCGCCCTGCGCTTGTGCCTCCGGCCCCTGAGGAGCTCGGCCTGCACGTCTTTGCCCACAGACGCGGTCATCCCGACTGCAAAGGGCTCGTCGCCGCCGCCAGCGTTGTCGAGCGGGGCGAGAGTGAGAGGAGGGCAGTGGTCGGGATAGGTACAGAATAGAAGTAAACGCGAATGGCAGAGGCCATCACGCCGGGCAACTGAGCATGCAGATCTCGAGATCTCGCATTCCAGAAGGGACCCCGATCCGACCCTTAATGAACCAATCGGGGTCTCGCTCTGCTTACGTAACCACACCGTCCATATTCTTCCGTTGTCGAACCTCGCGACCATCTCATGCTCTCCAACGCCGTCCTCCGCGTCGCCCGCCCCTCTGGGCTCTGGCGACGAGCACCGTCAGCGCCGTTGCGCGCGTTCAGCAATGCACCCGCCAGGCGGCACCCCGTCCCCGCCACCTACAAGCATCCAGAGATGGAAGATCCCCAGCTGAATGGATACCCGAGACTGCCATATGTTTCCAGGCAATACCTGCCGCCGAAGGGGTGGGAGGACCCGCAGATGAGACGCAACTTTGGCGATACTGTATGTCCTGGAGTTCGATATTGCCCGTCCCACTTCTCATGATATCACGTCTCCGCTCTGTGCGTGCTAAATGACGGCAGTTGCACGAGCAAGAGGAAATCCTCTCCATGTGGGGTCCTGATATCTCAGTTGTTCCGCCCGAGACCGCCCTGCGTCAGTTCTCGCTCGCAGTCCTTGTTTTCGTTGGCATCGGCGCCATCTGCTACGCACTCGTCCCTGACAGTCCCGTGCTTCCCCGTCAATACCCCTTTGACGGCCTGAAGGAGGAACTCGGAGGACTGGAAGAGACCAAGGTAAATAGGAATGTTCTCAACCACTTACCCTTCTCATTCATTGTGATGTCAGGCTCGTACCGAAGAGTATGTAGAGGAAGATTAATGCCATCTTTTGTTTCATCTGCCCATTCCATTGCATTCTCCGTCCCGGACGCCAACGGATGCGTTGATGTTCCGAATCAAGACAATGCATATAGGTTCAGAGGTGCGCGTACGAATGAATGCTATTACTACAGGTGACGTCCGTGGACTCGGCGAATACACGATACAGTAAGTTTAATAAATTAAGCGACATTAGATTCATCAACCATTTCCGCCGACGTCGACGTATTAGATACTCCTTTGTAGGCTGGCTTAGGACGAGGACGTAGCTGTACACGCAATGGTTCCGCAGATTCATCGCCATCGCCAGACGGAGCCTGACTTCGTCCCGCAAAGTCACTACCCTCGTCATCCTCGGTGTCTGACTTTCTAGCCCTTCTCTTAGATGATGCAGCTCGACCACGGCCTCTTTTGCTGGCTTTCGCTTCTTTAGCCGCACCCCTTTTCGCCGTGCTCTGAACAGCTTCACCATTTTTCTTAGCGCCCGTTTTTCTTTTCTTCGCCGCGGGCTGTCGACTCTCTTCTTCAGCTCCCTCCTGCGGCGCGGGGCTCGCAGACGCGGAAGCGGCATCCCCCGACTTTGAGCGCTGCTTGCGGAAGTTTGTGACGACCTCTTGAAGTCGTTTGCTAGTGTATGCTTGTCGTTTCCGAGGGGCATACGTCCCACTCCCCGCCGTGACATCGAGGAACGTGTTCAAGTTCCCTTGTCTATTGAGTGCAGCGGTCTGAATCCTTCAATTAGTATGTTACCCTGCAACCCAATATAGGAGACGTCACCTGGCCCCTCTTGCCCACCCGTTGGATGATTGGCAAGAGTAAATCATCCACTTTGATCTGTCCCCATCCCAGTTCTTCGTGGAGAAACCTACGCGCAGCCTCAGAATCAGTGACGTCTACTTCAGCACGACTCAGACATACCCGCGGAGCGCGTCGAGATCCGGCAAGCCCCACTTGAATGGCTCTTCGGAAGAGTCGACGGTCGGATGATAGTAAGCGTCCCTCTTCACCGAGTGTCAATATTACGAAGGAACCCTGGACGCGGTGATACTTACAACGGCAGGATTTGGCCAATCAGGAGGCAGGTACAAATCCTTGAACCGTTTCTTCTATACGCGGAGTTAGTAAGACAGAACGTGGCCGTTAGCACATTTCTTACAAAACGTTTGCGGAAACTCGATTTGTTATCCGCTTCAGTGTCCTTTCCGGATTGCACCTTTGTCCACCATTCCTTGAACTTGTGCAGTCCGTCCTCCCCGGGGAACTCTGTCAGTAACTCCATTGCCACAACCGGACCTACCCGCGGTAGGCCCTCCACATAGTCGCTTCCCAGCAGGTAAGCCAATCGAATGAGTTTATCACGGTCCAATCCCAGCTCGCGCGCTAAATCTGATAACAAGAAGCACTCCACCGTTTTCGATTGATTGAACATATTCTTGTACACCCGCAAGCCGCCGAACAGGAAGACATCTGAGTCGTCGGTGATAACGCCATCGACGAGCTCCAGTCGGACAAGCTCAGCACACTGCGCTTCGGCTTCCATGGGTGCCGTGATATACGGGATGCCAAATAAGCGCAGCATCGTCTGCGAAAAACAATGAAGTCAGTGCATGCATAATGAGCAGCGGGGAAGTTCTCACCATAATTTGCGCGACCATTTGATGCGTGATGTCTTCGGAATCCCGCAACGCGATTTTTCGCTGCTCATTCAACGCTTTTATTTCCGCGTCTATTTCGTTCCGGACGTCATTCAAGTCCCGGCCCTTCACCTGTGAGATGAACCGGGCAAATTCGCCCTCTTCCGCGGTGGGATCCATTTCCTGAGCTGCGTCCCAGGTGTCCTCAGCGGCTCTGGTTTCCTCCGCCTCGGCCGATTGAGCTTGTTCCTCGTCAACAGGCGACGGAGATCGCGGCAGCTCGGTTAAAGATGTGTCGTCAGGTGGTTGCGCGGTTACGGCTGACGAAGGGACGGCCCAGGTCACCGCATCGTCATTGGAGGCTACGATGACCGGCTCGTTATCCGATCCAGGCGGCCTATCAGCAGTAGAGGCATCGGCGCTTCCTGAGAAAGCCATGCTCGTCGAATCAGCGTCTAAGTGGATGAAGGTCGTTTGACCGTGGTCGCCTAGAGGGTGCTCATCGGTATGGGCTGAGATGGCAGGCCCAGCAATATTCAGCGTAGATGTAGCTTCTTGAGCTTCTGGCACAATGACTGCTTCCATGTCCTCTTCAGACTCGCTGACGAGCTCCGCGAGATTATTAGGCGGAGATAGTGGAGTCGTGTGTCCAGCAGGGATGAACTGAGACTTGTCGCCGGTTTCCTCGATATACCCATCTGCCCTTCTATTTTGTTCCACTATGTGGCTCGGAATATCAAGGGCATTTCTCGCACTCGGCGTAGACTGCGTCGGTACGAGTAAACTAGGCGAGCCGAACATGGAAGAAGTCTCCAAAGCATCTGTCCGGATGGCTTGGCTGAACGAGGTCCTGGATGGCCGCACATTGCCTATTGACAATGCGGTCTCTAGCCTAGAAGGCGATGCATACAAATCATCCGCGTTCCAAGTACTGGCACCATGTTTCTTGGGTGATGATGGCTCGGACCTCCTGAACAGAGGGGGACTCCCTTGCTGTTCGCCGACAGAGAGCGATGCCCCGGACGTGCCTGCAGTAGGAGCTGAGCCACTAGACTTACGTTGGTACTGCTCGTCGCGCGAAGCATGTAGGGCACGTTCGAGCTCCGCGCTCTCTGCATAATCCAAGGATTCTTGCATCGCGACAGCCAGCTCAGGATCTTCCATTGAGGCTTCGGTATCTTCAGGCTCTTCGGGTGCAAAGAGTGCCGGCTTCTTTGGTCTTGAGGTAGGAGGAGCAGTGGCATTCGCCTTCTTGGGTGACTGCCTCTTAGCTATGGCGGAAAGAGCCATCCCCCTTCGGAATTCCCGAAGATCGGCATCCATTAATGGTGCAGGATCACTGCATAAACAGGGATATCAGAAATCATTCGCCCGTACGGTGCCTTACCTACACGTTTACCTCCTCCATTTCCTGATCACTATCCTCGTCATCGTCGGGTAGTTTTGTATCTTGATCAATTTGGATAGGCTTGTCTTGCGTCCCTTCGTCACGGATGCCCAGGACCCAGCCTCCGCTTTCGCCCTCATTTTTCACCAGCACGTATTCCTTATTTCTTTCACTAGCAATCCGAACGGGGATGGCGATATGAGCCTGACCAATGCTGTCCGTAGTCACCAACAGTTGCTGGGTCAAGGCATTGCGTTGCTTGAGATTCTTGATCTGTTCTTTCGAAAAGTCTAAGGGCGTACGACTGTTTCGTAGCATATTCTGTAGACGGTCGTACGAAGTCTGACGAGATCTCAGACGGAGGTCGCCAATGATTTCATACTGGACTTCCGTAGGAAGCTCTCGGAATTCCGGGGATGTAACATCGAAATCTTCAGGTCGCATTTCCTCGATGAATGCACGCAGTTCGTCCTCAGTAGCCAAACGTGGGTCTGGGACGGTAGAACGCGCAGCTTGCGAGAGCACCTCATCCATGTTTACGTCTGGCAATTTGTATGGGTCATGATCCTGGAACCGAGACTTCTTCTTGCTGGAGCTAGGACTAGGCCCGTTCGATACAGGTTTGGTGTTAGCTTTCACAGGAGTCCGAGGCGGAGAACCATCGATGTCCTCAAGGTAAACCATATCCCCATTCGTGACCCTAGCTGGGGCCTTGCCTTTACCTTTGCTGCTGTGTCTGACGGACGTACGCTTAACAGCAATCCGGTAGATACACAATATATGACTCACTCCTGCGCTTGCTCGACTGCCTTCCTTCTCAATTGTGCAGCAAGCAGCTTCTCAGCCACACGGGCATGGCTCTCGGCCGCCCCGTGCTTCTTCCTCTTCCTGTCGGCCTTGACGCAACTCATCATTCAATGAAAGCCCTCAACATCACCTTCAAGTACTTACGAGTGTATTGCGCTTCATCGCAGGCGCTCCTCCATCAAACACGAAGACTGGCTTAATTCCATAGAATAGCAGTTTACAAATTCGCCGCAAGAAACCCAGAACATGAGCATTGACCAATGCGCGACCCTCTTTATCCCGCATCGTAGCTTGAAACTGGTAGATCCATATACTAGAGTCGATAGCCATCGACTTGCCCTCTATGGTCTCTAGCCTGTGTCAGGACTCAGTACTTGGTCGTGATCGGCGAGTGGGAAAGGCCGCACAGGACAGGACGACCCACCGGCGTCAGCAGGTCCCATAGCGACTTGACACCCATGGCGCACTAGAGGCTACCGAGCCAGCGTACAAGAAGGCAGCAGCATGAGGGCCACAGAGTCTGAGTCTCGGTGCCGTTCGTGAAACGCGTCGAAGTCACGCCGACTAATTTGACACGGTCACGGACGCGTTACGCGTGCGCTCAGACTCAGAGTCAAGAGGACCAGTGGACCACCGCGCTCGTCTGTACTCATGAGGAAACACTGTAGAGTAGATGTCATGATTGAACCAAACGACAACGATCAAACAAGAGTCCCAGATTATGGTGATGTAACTAAAGGAGTGCGTAAGAGTAACTCGGACTTTTGCGGCGACATAGCAGGGAGCAAAGACAGGCAAGATAGAAAGGGAATTACGAAGGAATGTGCTAGGCGTGTGCGAGGAATCAAGACCTAGGCGTCGAAGGCTTTGGACTAGCATTGGCCGACATCCTGGGAGGCTCGTCGCCGGGATCAACTGGACGTGGACCAGAGGGGGATCCGCTTTGACTAGCCTGTGGTGAAAACCTCTGGCTGGCTGGGTCTCCCGGAGGCCGAAGGCCACTGTCAAATTGCGAGAATCTTGGGTCGAAGTTGGATGCACCGGTCATCTGCATCCCCATGCCCATACCACCCATCGGCGGCATACCACCCATCATCGGCATGCCCATCATAGACATACGGGGGTCAAAGCTCATGCTGCCGCCAGTCATCATCGGTTGAAGGGGTCCAGGAGTTCCGCCTCCTTCTCCGCCTGCTTGGGAGCCGGCTGCAGAGAACGCCATCATAGCTTGCTGGTATGCCTGAGCTGCTTGCTGAGCGGCGAACATGTGGGGATTTCCATAGCCTGGCATCATTCCAGTAGGAGTGGGCATCATCCCAGTAGGAGTCTGCATCATACCAGGATTCGGCATCATACCAGGGTAGCTCATGTATCCCGTCATCATCGGGTTCATACCCATCATCATAGGGCTCATCATTGGATTACCCATCATGGGATTGTAGGGGAATTGAGGGTTACCGAACATACCACCGGCTTGGGACATCTGTTCGAGCTGCTGTCGCTGCAACTCATCAAGTTTACGTTGCCTCTCCTCGGCTAAGCGCTTCTCCCGTTCGCGTTCGGTCAATGCGGCGCCGAAACCACCTTCACGTTTCCGCTCGCGCTCGTGAGCAGAGATCGCCCCAAGGAGACCTGTTTGCGGTGGAGGAGGCTTGTTAGGCACATTGATGAGTGATGCTCCTGACTCTCTCGCGAGCTCCTCCTGTCTCTTTGCAGAACGATCCTCCTTCTCCTGCAGACCAGCAGACAGCAATCCTTGAGGGGTGAAGGCTTTCGTCATAGTCGCGGAAGGAGGCTCGATTTGAACAAATGTATCTCGCTGCTGAGTAGGAGGTGGTGGCGGATGACCTCCGTGCTTTTGGCCAGGTTCCAGCACCTGACTCCAGACGCTCTGGCGGGCAGCTCCGAGTTGAGGAGGTTGAGGGGATGTGCGGTGACCGTCATCGTATTGGGTCCGCCTAGCTTCAGAATACTGGTCGGACACCATGCGAGGAGGGCGAGGAGCTTGTCCACGGTACTCGTCCATTTCATCTACAACAGAAAATCAGTGCATGATCCCAAGCAATAAGCATGTCATTTACTCATTGCTCGCGCCCCTCCGGGTGTCTGAGGCAAATTACGAGATGGCCGGGGCTGTGCATACGCGGAGCTCTCAGCAAGGGGACCATTGGGAGTGCGATATGGCATTGGCGGAGCATGATGACCTTGTGAGCTGGGAGGGGCCGCCCCGGCTCCTTGATGGGCCCTGCTACTCACGGAGGCGGGAGGTCCGGCGTCAGATCCAGCGTCCTCATCATCCTCATCCTCTTCTTCCTCTTCTTCCTCCTCTTCATCGCTGCTATCGTTCCAAGCTCCACGGTCCCTGGCCTTCCCCTTCTGCCGACCGTTCACCCGTCCGGGGCGGTGCACAGCGGCTTCATGGGCAGCTTGCTGAGCCTGTGACTTGGCTTTCCGTTCCATGGCTTGCTTGGAAGGAGCAAAAGACGAGCGGAATTGTGAGGCTCCATCCGAGCTCGCGTGAGGCGAGGCCGTCCTGTCTGACGGTTCCACAACCTGAGGTGGCGGCGGTGGTACTGGGGACTGTTGTTTCTGCTGCTGTGGTGAAGACTGCGGCTGCTGCTCCTCTCGTTCTAAGAAAGTCAGAGCTGCTAAGGCGTCAGCATCGGGGTCCTCGAGCCCACTGCCGCTGGCGGGTGGTGCATCGTTGCGGGACATGTTTTCCTCGACGCGTCGTTGTGGGGATGAAGACCGTCTCTCCGGCACAAGCCGACGCGAATTGGGCGGTGCACGTGCTCCAGATGGGCGGCGAGTGATCGGCGCACGTGCACTGAGTGTATTCGAGGCCACGGCCGGCGGCGATGTGCGACGCATCTCCGCAAACCGGGGAGACGACGCTGGAGGGGAACGGACTGGGGACTGGTCCGAGCGATCATCACCGTAGTCAGATTCATCATCATCGGAACTCCCAGGCGGCGGTCGACGGGAAGATTTTGCAAGGACATTGTCCTGATGAATTTGTTGCATGTAGAACAGTGCCGCGCCTGCTTCATCCAAAAGGTTGTCTGTGGGACTCGCTGCAAGTTCGGCCGGTTTGGCAGGCAGTGGCGGTGGCGGCGGCGGTGGAACTTGCTGCTGCATGGCACCCGCAAGACTTTGCTGATGATAGTCTTGTGACATGCCAGCACGCTGGAAGCTCTCAAACGAATCACGATCTGCGAATCGTCTGACGGGAGAGTCGTGCATCATGGAGTACGGGGATGTCAATACCGAATGCGGAGGAGAGGGCGTGCGCGGCGGAACACTCTGGCCTTGCGACGTCGTCTCAGTAGAAGGTGAACTCGGCTTGGGAGAGTGAGAAAAGGAAGGTTGTTGCCCGGCTCTGACAGGAGATTTCGCAGGTGCCGGGGGCGAGATCGCTCTTGAAGACATAGATAGCGACTGCCTGCCTGAGCCCGGAGACATGGGTGGACGACCCGTATGATCAGCGAGACCGCCAGCATCATCCGGCTTCGGTCTAAAATCATGACTAAGTTTAGAATCCGGCCTGGAGCCAGGCGCACCACTGTGCGAGTCCTCGCTCTGCTTGGCCTCCAGATCAATGTTGCCCTGTGTTGGACTGGTAACGAGAGACTGGCCGCTCAGGGATTCCAGCTCTTGAGGCACTTCTGGAATCGCAGCCGGCGTGCCTTCCAAATGCGTCGACGGCCTTCGTCCAATCCTGCTGTCTCCGGAATTTGCGTGACTTGGAGGGCTCTGCTGATCTGTGGGAGTTACACTTTCACGTACACTCCGCTCTGTTATCGGGGTTAAGACGCGTCTTTCGGTCGCTGCTGCAGCCTGTGCCGAGGATGACGAATCGAAGCTGAGAGGAGGAAGCTGAGGTAGACCATTATCTTCAGTTGTCATTTCTGGGAGAGGGGGTAATCTAGGTGCAGAGTCCGGCATCTTTCGTCCCTCCGGCGGGGGACTCGTGACAGGCCGCGCTTGATTTTCGGGACCCAGCGTACGCATCCGCTCGTGCAAAATGTGAGTGAACCGCTGCCTAACGATAGCGGTGCGGTCGTCACGTGGATCCACAGTCTCGGCGAGCTCTCGGTCTAAGAAGAGCAACTGAGGAAGAGGTTAGTATAACCCCGACGGGCCCCGTAGTGAACCCAAATACTCACGTCCTTATGAGGACCCACAGGGTATGCGAACATAAGAGACGACGGGTCGCGAGGATCCTGTATGTAAGCATTAGGGCGACCATAGAGCTCAAAGGAGTCGTGAATAGCTGGGCATTGCCATTCATCTCAGTCATGCCGAGAACCGTAAACAGCGAATGTACCCACCGATGAGCCATTTGAGCATTTCCGCTGCCTGTACGTTCCCGCCCTCTAGCTCCGGCATGACGAGCAGCCACGCCTGCCTATTCTTCATACCCCCAGCAACCTCTTCCTCTCCTAGAGTTCCCTCGAGCTTTATCAGCGTGCTCCGGCTAATCAAGTCGGGACGCTCTGGGTATACAGCGAACGCCTGAGTCACAGCCTGCATAGTCAGCGCAGGCCGTTTTTTGTCCTTAGGCTTCGGCGAACTGTGCAGGGATATAAGGGGTATCTCGGGGTGGGGACTGTGCTCCCTTGAGAACAGGTTCGACATGCGCTTCTTGCGCGGAGCGTTGGGCGACTCTGGCCGACCTTCACCTGACGGTGTGTCGGGTGCGCGACCGGAACCGGCAGTTACTACCATCCACAGGCGTTTCCAGTCGGTCTGGCCTGCCACACGGATCCTGACCCAGCCCTCCATTCTGCCCTTGACCAGCGTTGTCGGGCAATTGACGCCTGGACACGACGGATGTCAGCACATTCAGCGGCGGGACATTCTTATGGGACTTACCTTCTCTGAGAGTTATGCGGATAAGATGGGCGGTGTAAATCTCTTCTAAACGAGACTTTTCCCATGCAGACAGTCGTATAGCCGATGCCCAGGATATGAGGGCAGGGGTCGAAGGGCAGGAGAATAAGATGAGGTTAGATCCAGCGGTATTGAGGGTTATCACATTGGTATATTTCTGAGCCGGCTGAGTAGCAGAGGCTGGGACAGTCACTGCACCCAACACTTGGACGAACTGCAAGATGCTGTAAATATCGCAACAAGGAAGAGATATTCGTAGTGCTCACAGCATCGGTAACATTGATGTAACTAGGAGGGACCTCTCTCCCCTGCCTCCCCGCTTCCTCCACCTCCTTCATATCCCAGACACTGAGGATAGTGCCGCTCAACTGCGCCCACACTTCGGTCCAACCCTCGTCCTTCGTAGGTCTCTGGCCATCGGGCTGGCGCTCAATCCTACGGATGAGCTTCCCCCATTGGTACACCTTGTTCGTGTGAGCAAGATTCAACTGGACGACAGAGCGTATCTCCGGGTGCAGGGGAGGAGGTGCGGGTTGTGCCAGGGTCGTAGATGTGCGCGATTGCACGCTGGGGCGCTGCTGGGAAGGTCCTTGCTGGGGCTGCATATCGGCACCCTGAGGACCATTCGACTTGGTTCGCGTAAGCACGGTGGACGGTCCTTGACCCATGGCGTTTGGAGGGTTGGTCACGTTGGATCCGCCAGGCATCGGGGGTTGCGGCGCGGCTGCAGCTGCAGCTGATTGGGACTGGGCATCTTGTTGCGCCTGGCTAGAGTTCTTGCTACGGAAAGAGAAGAAGGAAGTCGACGTGGAACGAGAATGAACGTGTGCAGGCCTGCTGGGCGCTGGCTGCGGAGATGAGGGGGCGGATGTCGACGCCTGCATCGGCGGAGGCGTCGTCGGCTGCGGAGGCTGCTCCGCCTCGTCTGCCTGCTGCTGACGGAATTCGTGGGGAACAGTGGACTGTCGCCACTGTCTAAGTTCAGAAGGTGGCACGAAGCCGCGGTTGCGGTTTTCCCATTGGGTGCTCGTGATCGTCTTGGATGCTGGGGAAACGGAGGCCATCGACTGGGGCGACGTCGACGACGACGACTTGGACGCTGGTTAAGGCGACGAGACAAAAGGGTCTAGTAGAGGCCCTCAAGGACGTTCATCAGGTAATTGGCGAGAGGGATTCCGAATTGTCCGAGTTCACGCGTTGCTGGTTCGCGACGATTGACTCTATCGCTCCCGCCCACCGCCCACGAGCTCCGAGAAACATCAACGTCATTGTTTAGCTCAATGGGCTGCGCCAAAAGAAATCTGCCGTGATTTACCGGTGCATCATCAGCAGGGGCATGCAAGGAGGGAGGTTCGTGGCATAATCTGCGTATCTACCAGCTACATTACTAGCATCATGATGAACCCCTGCGGTCCTCTGCCTTCGGTGCATGCTCGTACTCCCCAAATCCCATCGAATTTTGGACGACATCGTCCGGTGCATCAGGCTCGAGATTGCCTTGGGAATTCCGCCTTGCCCTGGAGTAAAACGAACATGAGACCCGCAACGAAGCATCACCATATGGTTGGCGTACCTAAAGAAGGTATAAGACAGCACGACGTCATCAATCTTCCGACATGATGGGTCGTCCAAGATATCCTTGTCTATGAAGAACAGCAACGGCATGTCGACCTCTTCCCCGGCCAGAAGCTTCTGCTCCTCAAAGCAGAAGCATTCCACCTTGGCGAAATAAGGTGCAATCTAAGTTGGCCACAACGACGCCAAGGGGCGGAAGAGAGTCAGGAGACATGGACAAGAGCACTAAGCAACGGCATACCCTATCAGGTGTAACGTTGTACGTGGCGATGCCTATAATGTCCTTGTCCGACTTGTTCTTCGCCTTGTAGAAAGCGAGACTGGTCTCCCCAGGTAATACGGTCACAAACTTCTGTTGCGGTATAAACTGCCATGGCAGTTGATCGGACGTGTCTGCGTTGAAATGCACTTTGATCCGGCGTGCGCCTTCAACTGGCACCAGTCGCTCTGGATCGAATTTACCAGTCCCGACGATGGGCGTTCCAGCGAATCCCGTAGCGGCACAAAACATGCGGTATAGAGGCACAGCGGCGTATGTAACGCCCACAGCTAGTACAATCTGCGAACCTCAGTACCGCCGTAAGTATTCTCGGGAGCTGAGACGTACCACGGCAGAAGTGTACATTAGCAGGCTACGATTCCTTGCAGCATACACCGCTTTACGAGAGACCAGTCTCGGTGCTGGTCTCGGTGCTGGTCTACCTGACGGGGGAGGGGGATTGCCAGCTTCGTTGGCCATCCCCCTCCGCATCGTACACCAGAAATCCGATGCAAGCCGTCGCGGCTGCTGAGCGAAGAGACAAGATGGCGTCCGTTCAGACGATCCCAAGTGGATTGTTCGTATGCATTGATGAATTGGCAGCTGAACCCTTAGAGTAGGAAGATTCTTTAGACCTTGCGAAGGCAGGGATGAAGAACGAAAGCATTGTAAAGAGAACCGGAGAGACATCGACTGGATTCCCTATAAGGCAACGTTGGATTCCGTTACAAACGCACGTGGTTTTGCCAGATTAGTCCACAGCCACAGTGCCGATTCATGTCCTTTCAAAGGCTCAAAGCCCACAGTACAGTACAGTAATATGCTGGAGTCTTGTGCCCAAAACCAGTCAGCGACGTCTACGGACCTTATTTTCTTTCGTCGTGCATCTATTATTTACAGGCTTATTGATCTAGATGCTCCAGTCCCAGGGGATTCATTCGCAGTTTCGTTCGCTGAACTATTGTATGAGGACCCCTGAAAATACCGATAGATGCCGGTGCCAGTCCGGACAAAAAAAGCGGCTCGGGCAAGGGACGCCGGAGCCAGTCCGGACGTAGGTAGGGGTCTCAGCCGGCCAACCCGGTTTTTTAGTCCGGACACCAACGGCACCCCAGCAGTGAGGCCGGTTGTAGTCCGGACATGGTCAGCAACCCGCCACTTCGTCGCGATTAGCTAGTACATTATCATTAGATTCATTACCCCGTATGGTGTTTCTCACCGAATAAGGATAGACATGCCTCCCTGTAGTCGTGAACCCTCGGGTACCCCTTAGTTGCACGGAATTATACAGTTTACGCTGAAATCCGGAGGCACACATGGAAGACACAGCTGGGTGCCGGATGGCTCCAATATCGCTGCGGTATCGTATCTCGCCATCCAGGGCTACGAAGCCATGAACGGGCGGGTATTTCGCACTGTCTCTCAGACCCTGGCAATGCTCGCTGCCTGCCGAATCACTCAATTTGCCTGCCACGTCTATCCTTTGCATGCTGGAGACAAGCCCGAAGGCTCTTCCGTTATCTATTGAACTTTCTACCTCAGACTATGCACCTTTCAGGTTTTCATACACCCTAGTATATATATCTAGTGTCTAGAATGACTTGTGGACTACAACGGGTGATTTTTGCTGTTTCCTAGAGGCCGGGGCAATAGTCCGGACATGAATATGACCTTGGCCGAGGCCGGTATTTTATCCGGACATAAAGGCGGGGGGCCGCCAGAAAAAGTCCGGACATGACAAAATCGAGTCTTGCACCGGCATCTATCGGTATTTTCAGGGGTCCTATTGTATGTCAATGTCAATGCATGATCCGCTACGCAATGCATATGATGCAGGTACGTGTCCTGGGTTACGGTCAAGATTAGCCTCCAACGTTGCACAACGGAGAGTACTATTAACAGGATGTCCAATAGACTCATCAGACTTTCTATTACAGCTGATCGCATAACGACGACGCACCCCGCATTTCTAAGTACTCCTGGTTGACGAATCAAAACCGTCAGATGCAACTGTTGTCGGTGCAAGCTGGGCGCTAACTCAGTTAGCGGGCTGTCGAGTCACTGGGCCTTCTTAGAAACATCTCACCATTATGGTTGTTCGTTACGGAGCGCCTCCGATCAACGTAAGTAAACGACGGATCCTGGTGTCGTGTTACTTGAGTCTTACATCCAAGGACTTCGGAAACTCAATGCACGAGTACCCGGAGAGATGTTCATCATCAACGTACAGCCACAAGGTGTGCGATGGCCAAGCGCTACAGTCTAATGTCCCTGTGCCGGGATGCATCGATGCAGCCCCATAGCTAAGCATACTAAGCGTGAAACTGGTTCAACACACGTCAATCCTTGTACATACATAGCTCGGCCGCTGAGCGCTGAATGTGTGTGTGTGCCGAGATCCCCACTCACGTCGGTCGCACCTGCTGAGGCTTACTAGAAGGCACAGCACTCGTCGACGCGTTCTCTGTCCCAAGGCAATATAACACTCGTGAGCTTCCTTTCTTTCTTTCTTCCAATATCATCACTGAATTTGAGCTTTTT